ACAAATGCAAAGTTTAGTCGGAGTGGGATTTGAGACTGAAAAAATACCTTCAATGTATTTACTGGAGATGCTCCAGTTTTCTAGCACTAACAGTAATTAATTGTTCAATACTATAATCAGAACATAATATTTTAAAGATTTTTTTACATAAAATTGGTATACAACTTTAAATGGTTAAGTGATTGCATAGTTATTATTTTCACTTTTATTTAATTTAAATACAAATTTTTCCAAGATTAAAAGAAATGAAATTCTTGTGAATTGCTAATACCTAAATAAAATGTGAAAATCTTTCAGGAAAGATAGAGATAATTTGTGTCAACAAAAGCTTAGAATGGAGACAAAGTGTAAGTCATCTCATGTAGAATATATCATCCATATTAACACTCCTGTCAATGAGAACATTTTGCTATATAAAATTTATAAAAAGATGAATTGATACCTTACCTAATATTAATGACAACAGTAAATATCAATATGCACTGTTTTTGCCTGTTGTTACAGAATGTTAAGATTTTTAAGGTTACTAACTCATTTCACTTCCTTATGGTTTGCCCTTTAAATCCACAGAGAAACGTTAGATGACAACAAACACAAAATGCAATTAGTTTAGCCTCCAGAGACAGAGACAAAACCTGTCCATCAATATGGTTATTATTGAATATTCAGACTAATTTTTCAGGGTAACCAATATGTATAATATTTAGGCCGCATTCACATCGAGAAGAGCCGAGGCTCAACAAAGCCGCGACTTAATGACTGTACCCCTGCAAGGATGATGTGTGGGGAGGTGTGTGAGATGCAGAGAGACTATTAAAAGATTAGGCGGTTTTCCTTCCTCTCCGCCATATTTAGGTTGTGGCTTTGTTGAGCCTCTGCGCTTCTCGATGTGAATGCGGCCTTAGAGATCCTAGTTACAAATCACATCTTGTTCAGAGCCAAACATTCTATAAACTTAAAATCATTTTGCATTTTACTCTTGCAACAAAATATAGCAAAGATGGAACAATAGGAAAAAATACATATATGTAATATGTTAATCCAGGAGGTGAACTGATATAAATTTCAGATTAAAGTATATTCTCAAAACTACAGTTTGCCTCTAGACTCTTCCTTATGTGCAATCCCCTTGTAACTATTATCTCTGAGCTCTACTGTACATATCAAGCTGGACTAAGGGGTTCATTTATCACAGATATTCTTTAACTGGCTTAACATTAACTGATAGCATAACAGAGACAGATAACCACAACATCTACTAACCACATACCTGTTTTCCATTCCACTCACAAAAAAGACTGAATGCTGCAAACAGAATATACTTAGAGAAAAATTTCATCAGCTGTGTTATGTTATAAGAATGATGTGATTTTTTCTTCAGCCAACAGCTAATATTGAGTTTTTACATCCAATATTTTGATGTCTGGGACATCTTCATCAGGAAATGAGGCTATCCAGGTGAATAACCTCTATTGACAGTAAACCAAGGGAAAATTACAGAAAAGTCCTATTGGCCATCCATATCAAAAAGACAGGGGCCAGTCTCAACAGAAATGATGGTGCCATCCTCCATGACCTCTACCTCCCTTTCCTAAGACAATAGGTGTGTGTGTGTGTGTGTGTGTGTGTGGGGGGGGGGGGACGTATATCCCCGAATTGGGG